CAAAGATAACTCAACCTATAAAAGCACTGGCATAATAAGTGTCTGCCTGGCATAATAAGTGTGGGATCTTGGGAGTTTTAGAATCTTGGAATTCTGGTCTTTCTTAAGCAGAAGGATTTACTGGTTTGCTTTGCAGTGAGAAGACTACATAAGCTCCTGCCATACAACTGTTTCATTGGTTTACAGGGTTGTCAGATATTACCCCAGGTCAAGCCTAGCCTCCTGAATTTGCAGATTATAGGCCTGTGGCTATAGCTTGTGTATTAAGTTTGATATAAATATACTTTCAGTAAAAAGTAAATTTCTTTTTAATCTTTGGATTGGTTGGTTGGTTTTGTTTTTCTAGGTTTGTTACAAAATTGTTTTTGTTTGTACAGCCCAAAAATCAAGAGTTGCTTCACTGTTTATAAATTTACTGTCCAGTTTCTAGTTATAGTTTTTCTCCTATAATTTCATTTTTAAAAGGATTAATTAAAAACGGGCAGTTCTTTAAGATGACTGGCTTAGCATTTGTAAACAAATAATCGCTGGCCACAGCACTTGGCAGCTGCGCAGAGACTCATGTGTTGGCATTGTGTTTTTCTTTAGCTTCTGGCTTGTTCCCTAAAGCTAGTGAAATTCCAGCTCTGAAAAGAAGTTCTAGTTCACAACTTTAGACTGAAAGTATGAAACACAGTGGATGGTTCTTTGGGGCTCGTCCTTCCATGTGTTCTAACGTTGTGTTCTTCTGTCCTAAGGTAAAAAGAGAACTTACTTACACAGGGAGGAAATGAAGGCCAAACAGAAGCAGATTCCAGGTTATGTAAAAACTTGGATTCAAATGTCCCCAAACAGAAAATGAAGCTCACTTCAAATACACACTCTCTGCCTTGAGAACTGAAAGAAGCTAGCCTTCCTTTTCCACAGCCACAGTCCTCTGGTGGGCGTGTACAGCAGAGACTAGAGAGAGGCTGAAAGCGTCTCCGTTCTCCCCTCCCCAGACTTTTCCTGGGAAAAGTCAATAATTAAGCAAATTGCTTAACTCTTGGTTCCAGTTCCTGTATATCTGGAGCTTAAAGGCATCATAACCATTGTCTCCATGCTGCGGTTGTCACGAGAGTGGAGATTCCTCACACTGACACTGAGCGTCCATCCTCACACAGGAGAGCAGGTGTCTACTGAACAGTTCTTACGGAGATCAGATGGCATTTTCTTTGTGTTCCTTTTGGAAACTTATGTATTATTCTTTCTGCCTGTCTACTTTTCTGCAAAAATGAGATGTACAGATTTCTGTTCCCTGCTATGAAAAGTAATATCGTGGCAATTTTATAAATGTTGCTTTCTGGTTTTTATCAGAATGAGAAAATAATGAAAATTATTATTGATTTGCAAGTCGTAAACACTTCATATTATGATTTCTCCTGTTTTAGTTTAATATAATTTGCAATAAATGTACATATTGTTTCATAAGGAATATCACTTTTAAATGGTTTTGCTCCTATGATTATGTTGGAATATTGGGATTTTTAAAGGAGTAAAGACTGTCCTGGATTTGGTTTTATAATTTTTGTCACCAGATTTTTATTATTAATGTAAAAAAAGAGTTGTTTTTTCCCTTTTGTTTTGTCTTTGTTTTTCCTCTGTGATAGAAGTAGATGGACACTGGCAGCTTTGTAAGAAAACAGCTGTAGGGTTGCTGTCAGCTTTCAGTTCCCTGCTGTTAGGAAATAAGCCTTTTATTTTTGTCTGATAATTGGGGCTCAATTTTTAACTTTAATTTACAGACAACTGTTACATCAATATTCTGTTCCTTGGCATTCATTATTCAGCATAGATAATGTGTGCACCATTTGTGTACACATAATCATATTTCATTTTTGCATAAAATAAATGCTTCTAGATGTCCTATGGAAGTCTTCAATCTTTTTATCATGCTTTCATCTCTTAGGAGTTTTTATGTGAAAGGGCTAAAGTCAGAGAAGCAAAGGAAATGATGATTCCAGTCAACTCTCGGTTATCTGTGTAAAACAGAGGTTATTCTTCAAGTGAGCAATTTTGTAGTCATCATAAACATAAGAATAACAAGGGCATCTGCAAGAATGGTTGAGGAGAAACTTGAAATTAACTTTTTCTCATCCTCAGAGTTTTTGCCTGTCTCTACTTTCCCCACTTGGATTGTGCCCAAAGCCCTAGCAGAATGTACTATATTTGCATTATGACTTGGTCTCGATGGGATATATAAAACCATTGAAGTGTCAAAATTTTCTCCAGAATGAAATTCATAGATGATATGTCACTTAGGTTCTCATAGATAATTGAGAGTGGGCTATAAATTGACTGGGTGAAAGTTGGGTTTTTTCTTTTAAGTATTGTAGCTCTTTTACATGCACATGTTTGGTGTCAGAAGATGCTAGAGAACAGTGGATACCAATGACAACAACATTTCTTGAAAGGGCATAAAAGCCCTACTCTTCCTGCTGCCTCTCCATGACCTTTTAGAAAAAACAAACATTGCCTCCATACGCTGACAGAGTATCTATGCATACGGATCAGTAAGGTCCCTCAATCAATCAGTGCTATATTCTATTTAGAAGAAATCTGAAGTTCAGACAACTTGATTCTTAGGGCCTCCGATTAGTCACAAGGTGCAAGAAGGGAAGGTTCCTGGGTGTTTAGTATTTTAACAGCACAGCAGAACTGTCCACATTCATTATGGCTCTCTGGAGTTCTGCAGCAGGACAGTTATTTTCAGGGTCTGCTCCTCATGGGTAAGCATGAGGACTAGATCTCTGGCTTGAAGGGAGAGGAGAGAAAACTCTTCAAGGATTAATCCCGAGGGACTCGATTTCTGGAAATGTGTCAGGTTTTCTTTAAAAAAGAAAATGTAAAATCTCTTAGGAATTTGGTATTTACATCTCAGAGAAATACAACACAAAAGTGCAGACTTATATTTGGGAATTACTGTTAACCCTTTGTGTCTAGTTTGAAGCTTCTTGTATTTGTCTAAAACTACAAGCCAGACTTTTGTATCCTTTGATAAAAGTGTGTATAATGTAAAGTAGTTTTGCATATCCCTGTGCTGCACATGGGCTGGGTTTTTAGAATTTTTTTAAAGACTTTAAGCAGAACCTTGTAATTTGTGTAAATGACAAGTGTAAAATCCTTCCATAAAATGCTTACAAATATGCACTGTTTCAAATAAAACCAAGAAATGCAGCATTATATAGGAGTGTGGGAACCTGAATATCCATGCGCCCTGTGTCAAAGGTCAGTGAGACATGGTTGCTCACTTCCCATTCAAGCCTCTGATGGAGCTTATAGTGACTGAAGAAGAAAATGCTGGACCATCATTTCTGAAGGATCTTTGGAAATTTTTCTGATGTGTTCTTTAAGCTAAGAACGTAAGAAGGAATGATCTTTGTTCCCTCCTGTTGTGTGGTAAATGTGTCACAAGTGGTGAGCATGATGTGCTGGTTTAATAATGGAGAGTGAGCACATCACGTAATGGACAGAGTAGGAGATGGACAGAATGGGAGGTGGGACAGACCATCAGACTAGCTTTACATTTCACCTCTATCTGATTCTCCCCATATTTAACCCTTAATATTCATAGATTCTATAACTTGATCAAAGAACTAAGCTGAAGGATATTTTCTAGGGGGTGTACTTGCGCTGTACTTCTGACCATTGTTCCACAAACAGTATCATTTAGCAATTTAACAAAAATGTTGCGGTATTTAGTGTATCATTAGTAATTCCACCTGAAATAGAAGGGAGAGAAGATGTCCGTCATGTAATCACTACACCCTTTCATGTTGGTCTTGAATATTTACAAAGGTAAGTGGGGGGGAAGCTCTGTAAGCTCTGATAATCCTCAACCAATCTCTGTGCTGAAGGAAAGATGTATTGACCCAAGTTCTTTGCCTTCATTTCAACAAGGCTCTAGCAACTCTGACAACTGCTCTTGCTGCCTGCCAGGTAATACGGCCAACAGAACTTTCTAAATTACATCCCTTTGTACCTCTTTCCCTTTTTTTTTTTTTTTTGGGTCTTTGTTCTTATTTATGAGTGTTTTCCTTGCATGCATGCCAGTATTTTATGTGCATGCCTGGTTTAGAAAGGAATGTTGGATCAACTAGAGTTGATTGTGAGCCCCAATGTGGGTGGGTGCTGGGAATTGAACCCAGGTCCTCTGTAAGCTCATAATCTCTAAGCTCTCTGTCCAACACCCTGAACCCCAGGTGGTCTCATGCCCAAACTGTCCCTTGAACTTACAGTATATAGCTAAAGATGAATTTGAACACCTAATCCTCCTGCCTCTACCCCTAAAGAGCTGGGATTGCTACCCCCACCCAAGCCTTATACTTCTACCTTAACGTCAGGTTTTCACAAACTGTAAGAATAATAGCCTGGTTGGTTTTCTTGCCTCAAATTATAGCACAGACAAATGTCTCTTTTCTAAAGTTTTTGGGCCAAGGTGATGATCAGGACTCCAGGTGGGGGTGTGTTTGCAGATCATGTTTCCTTATTACTACCTGTTGCTAAATAGTTGCCGTTGTCCCGTTGGCACCTAGTTGCTCCTGTCATCTAGCAAAGGCCATATTATTCCATATATATATGTTAAACAACACAACATTGTTTCAGAAGGAGCTTGAAAGAGAACAAACTGGAGTTTTCTATACTTAGAGGGGCAGCCCAGTGCAAGGGCAGTATCTGTGGCATTGGATAGGCATAGTTGTGTATGCCTTTAATCCCAGGATGATCTCTGAGTTCCAGGCGAGCCATGGCTATCATAAAAAGAAGAGGAAGGTAGTTGGGAACTGATGTGATAGTAAAGTCACATATAGTATAAGGAGCATGCAGCTTATTCTCTATTTGGTTAAAAACCATTTTGTGCAAACATTTGTTGTCTTAAGAAATACTATAACTGCTATATGGGAGATAAGCAGTAGAAGCTAGAGTGGAGATATACTTGTCTCTAGACAGATACCCCTGAAGACTAGAGCGATAGGGACAGCTAGAGTGGAGATATACTTGTCTCTAGACAGATACCCCTGAAGACTAGAGCGATAGGGACAGCCGTGTGAGTAGCAGGAGTTGGTCCACTTTTATTTAGTGCAGGATCTCATGTATCTTGGACTGTAACCGGCTAGCTATATATCCAACAATAACCTTTAACTTCATGGATCCTCCTACCCTCCAGCCCTTTCATTGGGGTTACAGGTCTGCACCAACACAGCACTGCAGTGGAGGCCTAGCCAAACAGAGTTTAATGAGACCTCGTCATGACAAACTCCTGAGAGCCATACATAGTTTTTCCGCAGAGTAAAGATTGTGGTAGTAAAGATTGATGTGCAAATTAGTGTTATTAAATCATTGGACTATATGCTCATATTTTTATCCAATTTTATTGAAGCATAATTAAATATGTATGCAGTAAATTACATACTGTATATTAGTAGATGAATTTCTCAGTAAATCTTAAAAGCACATAAACGTAGATAACACAATTTTGGGGATTCATACATGTTAGACATACTAATTCTGTCCCTGAGCTACGCCCTAGCCTTCACACATCTCAACACACAAGCCAAGCTCACATTTATTCTTTAGAGGTATTTTGGAAACCATCTGCTTATGCTGTGCTCTGGTTGCATTCATTGATTGAAAGTGTCATGTTTTTTCTTTTCGTTCTTTGTTTTTTCTTTTTTTTAGATCGGTTTTCTCTGCTTAGTTCTGAATGTCCTGGAACTCACTTTGTAGACCAGGCTGGCCTTGATCTCCCAGAGATTTGCCTGTGGCCAGCTGGACTTAATTAAAAGCATTTGTTAAAGAAAGTTTATTCCCTTAGTAATAACTTCAGTTTTCATTGAGTTGGCAATTCATGAAGAGCAATATTATTGGTTTCCTTACACTTCAAATAAGATTTTTTTTTTGCATGTTTTCCTATAATTGTAACCTCTTTGGTTTTCTGTTCTTCATAAATAGAATAATTTCTACTGCCAGTTCTTGCAACCCTAGTGTAGTGCTGTTCCTGGTAACTACATGATATCTCTTCTTTTCCTCTACCATGTTGAGCACTCTGGTCCTGCCCCAAACTAGAGGGCAGCACTTGGCTGCTGGACAGCTACCATTGTAGCCCTGTCTACCTTCCTCTCAGAAGTAATAACCTTTCCTTTACATAGTTTCCCCACTTGGGTGAATTTATTGCTTACGTTCCTCAAAATCCCAATGAAAGGCCAAGATTGAGACCTTGAATATATGGAAATACCCTACACTGGCACTCCAGCTGGGAATGGAACCACTTGTTAGAAATGCTTTGTAGGGCCTGGAGCAATGACTCAGCAGTTAAGAGTACTGGCTGCTCTGGCTACTTTTCCAGAGGCCCTGAGTTCAATTCCCGGCAACACAATTGGCAGCTCACAACTGTAACTCCAGTTTCAGGGGATCTGACATCCCTACGCCAATTCACATAAAAAAAAAATTAAATCCTTTGCAATTAAGAGAGCCACTGTGAGCCGTCTTGAATCCTAGCACTCTGGACAAGACTGAATCTGAGGCCAGCCAGAGCTGTTTCTGAACAGCAATGAGGTGTTCTGCATTGAGACTGGAAGTATCCATAGACAAGAAATGGTGTTTCATTTTCAGATTCCCCGAATTCCAATTTGTTTTTTGGTTATTGCCAATTACTGTGAGACAAAATGTGCCTATAAACATTATGCTGGCAAAATGACCCTTTAATTTCTTAAAAATTTGCCATCTTTATTCTAAAATTATTTTTTTGCATTTTTTAAATTTAATTATTTTGGATTGGGGAGTTGTATTTGCTTGGTAAGTTCTCACTGTGAGAGCTGTTATATAGCCCAGGTTGCTCTGTGGTCAATACTTTATTCTTGGAAGCGCAGTTAGTGGTTATTTTGTGATAATCCATGTAGCCCGGGCTCTCCTGAATTCTGCCCTCACAGGAATGTGCTGCTGTAAGTATATTTCAGGCAAGTTCCAATTTCAGGATATTTTTTCTTACTATACTGATCATGGTCATTAATTCTTGATGCCATTTTCATTTCTTGTTTCCATAGCTATTTGTTTGTTTTCCCTTTTCTTGGAGCTGAGTCCATGGCTTTACAAATGCTGGCCAAGAGCTCACCAGCTCATCCCCAGTGACGTGTTTGTTTGCCTTCTGACACTGTGGTCACACCAGGGCCTTGTAAACTTGTGTGCTGCACCGCTGGCTCCCAGCCCTCTGGTGGGATTCTGGAGTTGATGTTCATATGTATGAACTTAGCTTTGAGCAATACTTTGATGAAGATGATCTTCCCTCTCTTCTCCCTCAGGTCTGACTGTCAGCACTGGAGAAGCTATGACTACGGGCTGAGGCGGCAGCTCAGATGCTAATGTACTTGCCTCACAAGTGTGTGACTTCAGTACCCAGCAGCACATGAATGGGCTGTGTCAGCATGATTGTAATGCTAGTGCTGGGAGAGCTGGGGCTTAGTGCTCACCTAGCCTAACCCAGCCTCCAAGGCCCAGGTCTCAGGAAGAGACCATCTCTAAAAACACTCAAGGTGAATTCATCTCTGGCTCTCATGGCCAAAATACATGTGCAGCCACAAACACATGTACAGACCAGGGAGCTACCACATCCATCCTCATTCTCATGCTCTTCCTGTCATCTCCGAGGATCCATAGCTAAAGGAGTTTTGATCCTGAGTTTTCTAGTAGGCAGCAGGAAGCCCAACTTTCAGCCAAATCTCACTCCAGGGCTGCACCGTGCAGCAGCTGATGTGTCAGACTCTGGGTTTACTTGCCCTCTGCAAAAAGGTACAGTCTTCCCATGCATTCGCTCTCTGGTGATCATCGCAGAAAATCTGGACCAGCCTTTTGTTTTAGAGGCAGGGTCTCTCTAAGGCGACCTGGTATTTTTAGAACTCACTGTGCAAATCATGCTGGCTATTTACCTACATAGATCTTCCCTGCCTCTTTCTCCTGGTTGCTGGGATTAAGGGTGTGCACCACTACACCTGGAGTGAAAATACTAAATCCGTGCTGCGTCCTTTAAAAGGAAAATCACAGCCTACATACCTAACCAGTTGTGAAAGAAGACAACCCCACTCAATGGGCTGTTCCTAGCTACCCAACTGCTTATGGCCTCTGCACAGTGCTGTTGGAACATCACTAGTTTGAGACATGGTCACACGTCTTGTAATCTAGGCACCTGGGAAAGTCAAAGATGACCAAGTTTTGAATCCAGTGTGGTCTTTATAGTAAGTTCCAAGCCAGTCTAGGTTATAACATGAAACCTGAGCTAAACGGGGGGGGGGGGGGAGACAAAACCCACGAACAGAAGCAACTATACAGTAGAAGCTCAAGAGAAGGCCAAGTTGGCAAATTAGGAGGTATGTTTGTCTAAACAGCATACTACTGGTCCCTCACAAGGGCACCACTAGTTCCATCACAAATGGAAAAGAGCCAAGGAACAGCCATGGGCAGAGGGGCCAGGTGCACGGTGTAGGTGGTATTCTGTAAGGCCCACGCTAGAGCTCATCACTGCCCCCTGCAGGTGCTGCACCACAGCGGTAAAGATCTCTTGCAAAGCCCAAGGGTACCAGTATTTCTGCTGTGGATAGGTGCCAGCATATTGTTTGCAAGTTACAGCCACACTAATTGATGCTGTTTTTGTTCTGTTTTAGGTTCTTTGTCTAACTTGAAGGGCAATGGATTTTCACAATTCTAGCGCGAAGATGCTGAGATCTTTTCTGTGAGAAAAGATAAAACAATGAACCAGAAAGGGTCTCTCACTTGGTTTTCTGGTGGTAGCCTTGAACTCTGGTGATCCTCCCCCCAACCTCCTGAGTACCGGGCCTAGTTATTCAGATGTGGGTTTTTGGAAAAGAACTGAAAAGGGTAGGCAGAAGAAACCCTGACCAGCAGGAATTAGAAGTATGAAGCCTGGCACATGCTTCAGCTACCCCTAAGTTCCTGCGCCAGCTTGCTTTCACCATCATAAATTCTACTGAGGACAAAAGTAGCAATCTCAAATACACCTGGGATGCTTCCTTGCACCCCGCAGACCCTGTGACCACTGCCTCCTGTTCCCCGTGTGTTTTTCTCCCTTGCACGATCTCACTGCCTATCCTCACTGTAGTTTATACCTTGCTCCAGTTGATCTCGTTGTCTCCCACAACAGCCCTCCATGGCAGAGTGAAGGCAAAGCTCTGGGTCACTGGGGACAGTTCTAAAGGGTGACTGCTCAGTGAACATTAGGATCTGAGCTTGAGTCCCAGCACCACATTCAAAAAAATTATTCAAAAAAAGGGGGCTGGGCAGACACATACATGTAATCCCAGCATTGGGGAGAAACCGGGTAGGGGATAAGGCAGGGACCAAAAAGAGAAAGAAAGATCCTCAGTATCCAATCATCTCCACGGTGTCCCAACATGCAGCCACGTCAGACACAGAGACCCTTTAGTGCGTTCCCTTTCTCTTCTGAGGCAGTCTTGTGCAGGCCCCATGTTGGCCTGGAGCTCCTGATCATGCTGCCTGCACTTCCCAAGTGCTGGGGTTGGAGCAATGTGCCACCATACAGGATAGCTCTAACATTTCATCTCATTTTACAAATGAGGCAAAATGCTAAACATATTTACCTAAAGAACCGGATCAGAAAAGCCCTGGTCTTTTATGATAGTATCTAACTATATAGCTCTCATGAGCCTGCCTGCCTGCGTCCTGAGTTGGTCACCTTAAAACTAAGTTTAAAACCCAGGACATACCAAGACCATCGAGAGTCTTCACGGTACCATGCAACTAAAGTGGAAAAGTTGAAACCCTGGGTCAAAACTATGCCAGACAATGCCCCATGTACAAATAAGCAAATCTGACTAAAAAGACTTGACTTGACTCTCAGAATCTATTAGCACATGCACCATTGCGAAGAAACTGTTGAAAGCATTGTTTCTGGCTCTTGTTTAATGTGAAGGCTTAATTCCTTGCCCAGAAATAATACATAAACCATGTGTGCAGGGGGTGGGGAGATAGGACATGCATGCATTTATTTAAGAATTCCCAATAAGGGGGGAAATTCAACATCTTTAAAAATGTGTTTATTTTTTTTAAAAATTCAGTTGTATACAAAAGTGTTTCGTAGTTTTTAATTCTCAAGACAAACACCATCCCTCCACCCGCAGCCCACCCTGCTTCAATGGTATATCTGGTAACCAGCCCATTTTCCCCTTACAGGAAGTTGATGACTCAGAACAGACCCTCCTACAGAGTTCACCATCACTAACAAACTGTTTAGAGATCTAAAGAAGCTAACAAGCAAGGTTCTTTCCCGGTGAGGTTAATGAAAATCCCTAAAATGGCAGTAACTTCCAGCAGACACAACAAAGCACCATCAATTGCTGAAAGTTAAAAAATAGATATTTTTCAATAATATTTCATTTTCTATTGGAAAAGTCTTTAAATTACATTAAATAAGTCTCTTTTCCCTAAAGAAATTGTCTAGCTTCTGTTATGATGCCTGTAAAAGGTAGGTGACGGTAAGAAGACATGATCGACCAGCAGCAGCACAGTGCAAGGACTGGATCCACTTGCCTCTGAACTCATCAGACAGCAGCCGAAGGTGACACAACCAGGGCACCCTTCGGGGAGGACTGCAGGCTTCTGAGGCCCTAGCAGTGTAAGAGAGCCGGAAGAACAGCAAGGGAAGAGGCACGAGCACCCATTCCTTCCACAGCGCATCTCTGCTTTTCATGGCAGCTGCAAACAAGGGTGTCACAGCAAGTGTAGACACTGGAAGTCATGCGACAGTGAGAACCTGGAGTAGGCTGATGGGTGTGCATTTACTGAGCCAGGAACTGGAAGGTGGAAATGCAACTCTTAAGCATCAACTCCTTGGAACTAGAAAAAGTGATTAATACAGAATCATTTTGTCAGTCCATGAAATAAAGTTAACTGTAAACAGACACTTTCCTTTTTCTTCTTCCTATCTAAACACTGTTTCTGTCTATGTACAAAATATACCTGACTCCACTATTCTCTGCCCAAATTCATCTGAAGTCCTTATACCACCAAAAACTCATTCTGGCGTTGCTCCACTGGCTCCCGAAACACCCTATTTCTACTGCAGTTTAGAGCTCCTAACAAGCATACGCTTACAGTTGAGCTCTGCTTTTCACACTGGTAAGTTTGCTCAGCATCCTCACCAGTAAAATAACATGCTGCATTTTGTAGTGCATAACGAGCAAAACCTGCTGCCAATTCCTTCCTGCAGACACATAAGGATTTTTGCATAGTGTTAAATGCCACCAACAATCAGGAATACAAAAAAATTCAAAATAAGTGTTTTAATCTCGGTTCATAGGCTATACTTCTCAAAAGCCAAATATTCGATTCCAAACATTTACATATATTTGAAGGTGTTACGTGTTTAAGATAAGAGACATCTGAGATCACAAACTCAGGGCAGCTGGTTAATCCCAGTGCCTGAAGTCTACATCCTGTGCTTGCAGTCAAACCTTTCTGTGATCTAGCCCAACATGCTTACAACTAAGTTTTCTATTAAAGTTGGGCAGAGGCTCAGAAAAAAAAAAAAAAAAAAAAACACAAAAACTGGATTATGTAAAACCCCTTTAGAGGGTCAGTGACTTGAAGTAAATCTGCATGCTCTAAATGAGAACCCACTAAAATTACTGGGGAGAAGCGATGTTCCTACAAGGTTTGTGGAGTTCTGGCTGACATGAAACTCACAAATCTGCCTGCCTCTGCCTCTCAAAAAGTCTGGGACTAAACCAACACCCAGAACAAAATAGAAACTTTTTAGGACTTTTTAAACTGACAAATTCTCAAACACAGAAATATAAAAATAATTTCACGTTTTACTAAGTCTGAATTTTTAATATTCTGCTTAAAGTATTTAGTACCAGAATAAAAAGCCTAAGTTTCTTGTTTTTGATGAACTAAAGCTACCAGTTGTGAAATGAAAACAAACAAAAACAAATAAAAAGAGGACATCACAGAAATACAAAAATAAAAAGCGATTAACACATTAAGTAAAAATGAGGAAAAAGCTCAACCAGTCTTGCTTATGTAACCCAGATAGCTTTGAACTTGTGTATTTAGCACATACATGATGGGGCCAGTCTGCAACCAAAAAAGGGAGGGAGGGAGGGAGGGAGGGAGGGAGGGAGGGAGGGAGGGAAGGAAGGAAGGAAGGAAGGAAGGAAGGAAGGAAGGAAGGAAGGAAGGAAGGAAGGAAGGAAGGAAGGAAGGAAGACCAAAGCAGGGCTTAACTGCAAAGTAGGTGACGCATGGCTCCAGTCATCTGAGTTCTCATCTGTCTAACCAGACAAATACCCTGACAATATGGGCAAAGAGTAAACTCCAAGATACCTAAATATTAGTGTTACCAAGCTGCCTCCACTAAAAAAAAAATCTAATCAATAATGGAGCTAAACTTTCCATGATTTCACACAATCCCATCTAATCTCAGGATATAAAGAAAAGTACAAAGTTTAAGCTATTTAAAATAAATAAAAATCTTGTTTCCTTTGGCATCTTTAGGACATAAACTACAGCAATAAAAGGTGTGGCTGCAACAGGAAATGTGTGTATCTGCAAACATGGAGATCATAGCAGCCTGAGTTTAGTGCATGGCCCTAAGAGTCACTGCTAACTGAGAAAGCCGTAGAAGCTGCTGGAAGACCTTCACATCTTCAATGTCATAGTCTAGTTAATGGCTCTTTTATTGCTTGTAGTATCAAGAATATTGAAAAGTCAAATGAAGTTAGGCTGAGTTAACAGGTTCAAAAAGTATTTTCCAACTACTATGACTACAAGATGAAGAACACGCCCAGCACTTGGGGGCAGAGGCAGGCGGATCTCTGTGAGTTCAAGGCTACCCTGGTCTACAAGAGCTAGTTCCAGGACGGGCTCCAAAACTACAGAGAAATGCTGTCTCAAAAGAGAGAGAGAGAGAGAGAGAGAGAGAGAGAGAGAGAGAGAGAGAGAAGAAAAGCAAGTGAAGAAGACTTTAAGAAAAGAAACCTTTTAGAATATGATTTTCAGGAGAGCCTTACTTTAATTCAGTCTGATTCCATTACATTTCTGTCACTTATGCATTGGTCCTCAAATAAATTTATATTTGTATCTCCTACAGAACAACTGCCTACATATTCACTTGAACCTTATTAAGATGGTTAAATTAAGTGTCTGAGTCTGCAAAACCAAGAGTCTTTAAACTTTGGAACACAGAGTGAGAAGTGACAGCGAAGAGCAGAAGTCTATGTACAGAAGGGAGAGTTTCAGTTCTCACACTGTCAAAAACATCATAAAGAAAGCTAGATTCCTATATGCATCTGAAGTATGTACAGTGAGACACCGACAGCTTCTGTGTGTCAACACGGGGAGTGCAAGAGTGCCTCAAGTGTCTGACAAAAGCAAACTCTAAAGTCCCAGTTAGACTTGACACTACTGAAAACAGCTGACTACATCCTTCAAGTTTCCAAAGACTTCATCAGTTTAAACATGTCAAACTCAATTAAAAAAAAAAAAACCTAAGTAGGGTCCTTTATTAAGTCTGGGAGTACTACAACATCAAGTATTTAATTCTTTTATAAGAGAAATAAAATTGGCAGCCCCATTTTTACATTATTACTTACATAGTAAAGCACTCAGACAAAACATTTCAAATCTATGACCTAAAACAGAACAAGGGACACTTCCTCAGCACGTTTCCCACCAAACACAGAAATTTACCATGAGAATCTTAGCTTTGGATGGTTAACAGGGAAGAAATAAGAGTGTCCCTACCTGTCCACAGGGACCGAAAAGCTCCGATTAGGTCATCTTAAAGTCTGGATAAATCTCATAATCCGAATTTCCTAATGCTTAAAAGGGTGGTCTTTTTAGCTACCCATCCTAAGAAGTCAAGTACAAGCATGCAAGTAAATTCACAGGCACGAGGATCCATGTTCAAACGCTTAGGGTAGCTGTGATGCAACACGACAATGGAGCGGCGACACTCGAGTGTTTCCCTAGTTATTCAACAGAACCCTGAAGCAAACTGCTAGTCTTGTTACATGGCTAAACACTAACGTAGCATGTTTTTCCATGGTTTTAGCTTAGCTCAAAGATTTTTTACACTATTAAGAAAAAAATTAAAGTATTTCCCCTTTTTAAATTTACACAGACGTTTAATTAGCTTTATTTACAGAGCAGGGAATTTGGTTGGTTTTTTTTTTTTTTTTTTTGCAGTCTCCAATGGTGCCTAGATAACATCATCAGGCAAGAATGCCAGTTTAAAAGAAATTTATGCAGAATCCTAAAAATAACAGATGTTGGTGCTCCTCAAGAAGAGGTGAGCTTGGCCTGCAGCAGCTCCCATGCCTCAGTTACTCAGAAGCAGTTCTGTTGCAGTCTCTACATCCCATGATTTTGAAGACAAGGCCACTATTACTGCATTCTGTAAAAAGAGGACAAGAGCAATCACAACTCAAGGAAGCACTTGCTAAGCACTGAAAAACGTTACTAAGGTTTTACACTGAGAATCATGCATTCTTTCCTCTAGCAATGACTGGAATCAACAAAAAGAATCATTATTAAATTCAATAACAAAACACTATTAACCAGAACTAGATTTCTTTTACATTTTAAGTCCACCTGTTCCAAGGACTGGGAGCAGTTTAGAAAGAGGAAATCAAATCAACTCCTCCTGTACTTACCCTATCAAAGCCCATAGCACACAGGTTTTCTATTTTTTTGGTGTATTCTGGACTAGAAACTGGTGCTCCAGCATACACATGTGCCCAAAGTCGAGCTGTCTGCTTGAACATTTCAGGATTTTGTTTGTACTACATGGAGGGGGAAAAAAAGATTAACAGGACAATACAGTGATAGTCAACACAGCAGCTCAACTAAGGCTCTGATTCTTCTAGAGAAAACACATTTCTATTTAACATGGGGCTCCTCTGGGCTGGGGCTGCAGAGATCAATGAATGGTAGTGCTAGCTTAATAATAAGCCCACAATCACAAGGTCAGTTACCAGCACTCCATGTGACAAAACACAAACTGGTATTCCTTTTCCACTGCGGATGTGTCATTCAAAAAATGAAGCTTTGTGAAAATAAAGGACAAAGTTAATACACTTTAAACAAGCATCTATTATTAAATGAACCCATTATTGAAATGTCCTAATCATTGTACAGCAAATCACACAACTCAACAAAATCAGCTGCATGTTAAATTACATGAACACTGGCTGCTAAATAGAAGCAACTATGTTACTCTTGGAGCCGCTCTGTAATCAAGTAAGCCCAACCCTAACTTGTATCACTACCATTCAAGAAAATTTAAAATTCAGAATGCTTTTACATAGATTTGCCATATAAATTTGAAAGATGTGAGGTACATTCATTTGTAAAAACTGTCAAACTGTTTAATAGCTCCTTTTTTGTTGTTATTGTTGTTGTTGTTTGAGACAGGATTTCTCTGTGAAAAAGCCCTGGCTGTCCTACAACTTGCTCTGTAGACCAGGCTGGCCTCAAAGTTACAGAGATCTGCCTGTCTCTGCCTCCTCAGTGCTGGGAATACAGGCGTACACCACCATCTCCCAGCCACTTAATATTTCTTATCAAAGTACTATTTTTAAAGGTTTTGAAATATTTATTTACATATGTAAGTATGTGTGTATATATGCACATGCATGTAGAAACCCACAGAAAGGTCAAGAAGAGGGCAGTATAGAACTGCGGAATGCGGGTGCTGAGATCTCATCTCTCTAGTCACAAGGCAGAAGGCAAATCAAATCATTCTTTCCTTCTCTCCCCCTCTTTTTCTTTTGCTAAAATAAGTTCTCACTATATAAACCTGGCTGTCCAAGCACTCTCTATATCTACATCAGGCTTGCCTCAAACTCAGAAATCCACCAGCCTCTACTTAGAGAGTACAGTGGTGGTGCATGCCTTTTGTCCTGAACTATATAGAGGGGCAGAAGCAGGAGGATCTCTGCGGGTTCAAGGACAGCATGGTCTACTGAATTGGTTCCAGAACAGCCAGGGATACATAGAGAAACCCTGTCTCCAAAAATAAATAAAACAAAAGATATATTTAATGTATTTCAACACTTTATTACCTAACAAGCAAAATTATTTGAGGTGTTAAAAGTCAGCTTTGATCTTAAATCTCAATCTGTGGGAAAATCAAAGCTAAGCTTCTTAAGAAAGACTTCTGCTACCAAAATGAACAAACAGCATGTGTGTGCCAACAGTGAAGAGTCATAACTTCAAGCACTTTGAAGTTCAGCAATGGAACTAAGGAGGCATGCATAGAAAAAATGAGATTGTCAAGGGGAAGGAAGAGAAAAAGTTGTCAAAAATATATATTTACATTAAAGTCATAAAAAGAAGCCTGGAAAGGCGTCTCAGGGGTTAAAGAGCACTGGCTGCTCTGCAGATGACTAGAAATCAATTCTCAGCACAAACTTCAGGAGGCCTAACTTCTACTCAGGGTATCCGACAACTTGACACTTCTTCAGACTTCTACGGGTACGGGTACTCAGGTATACAAGAGACACAACAGAGACACATTTTAAAATATCTTTTTTTTTTTTTTTTTGATTTTCGAAACAGGGCTTTTCTCTGTAACAGCCCTGGCTGTCATGGAACTTGCTTTGTAGACCAGGTTGGCCTCGAATTCACTGAGATCCAGTTAGTTGCCTCTGCTTCCTAAGTACTGGGATTAAGGGTGTGCATCACCACTGCTCGACAATAAGATTTCCTTTTCTTTTAAGAGCATAAGGATAAAGAAATTTGGACCAGAAAGATGACTTAGCAGGTAGGAACACTACCCGCAATAAGCCTGACAAACTGAGTTTGATGCCTGAAAGCCTGCCAGGGCTCCCAGCACTCAGGAGGCTGAAGCAGGCAGTTCTCTGTGAGTGTGATGCCTTCTGCTCTACAGAGTGATTTCCAGGATAGCCAGGACGACACAGAGAAGCCCTGTCTCGAAGAAATAAAAACAAACAAAATACAAAAAGAGTTTGATGCCTGATACCTGAGTAACATGGAAGGAGATATAGTTGTCCTTAGACCCAAACATTCCTGCCACAAAGTAACAGTACCCACACTTAAACATTAAGTAGGCACGTATATGTGTGCACATGTGCTTACACACACACAAATAATAAGCACTTTTAAAAAATTAAGGATACTTGATAAATGTTTCCTCAAAGAGAAAGCAAGAAAAACAGAATGACATAAAAATGATATGATCTCAAATCACAGGTGTTAGAAGTGTTAAAAAGTTACAAAGTTCAAAAGGATAACTTATCATGAAGAACCTTTGCAATGTAAACAGTAGGCTCTAAGTGAGTGATAGTGAGTTCCTAACCACTTGGTTTTGGTTGTTTGTTTTGAGATAGGTTCTTTGTAACTCTGCCTGGCCTGGAATTTACTTAGTAGAGCAGGCTGGTCATGAGCTCACAGTGGTCTGCCCGCCTCTACCTCCAACTGCTGAGATTGGAGTGCACCTCCGCACTTGGCAGTTGATGCTGTTTGAGAGAGGATTTGAGGGTCAGGAAAAAAAAACTCAAGCACAAGCAGATCCTTGGCTTGCAGTGACAGAGTAGGCGCTGTGATCATCCAGTGATCAATGCAAGGTTAAAAACAAGAGTGGGCTACAAAAGCTTTCATTAAAAGAGGGTAACAATGGCCAGGAAGTAGTGGACTGGGGAGGCAGAGGCAGGCAGATCTCTCTGAGTTCAAAGTCAGCCTCGTCTACAGAGTGAGTTCCAGGAAAGCCAGCCAGAACTGTTTAGAGAAACACTGTCTCAAGAGGGAAAAGAAGAAAGGGGGGGGAGGGAGAAGAGAAAGAAAGAAAAATAGAAACTGAGAATCAACTGTTAAATATAGGGAGAGAAGAGAGAAGTATTTCATACATCGAGAGATGATGTTGTTTAACAACAAAAATGCTCAGTAAATCAATACTTACAGTAGAGGTTGGCAAGCTATGTCTCAAGGATAGATACTCGTAATATTATTAGTAATTTACGCCTTTCAAGTCACAGACAGCATGTAACACTGTCCCTGTGACTGTAAATGACTCTGTTCCTACAAAATAAGATTACCCAAACCAGCCATAGTGGATGGGCCTTACCTTATCCTTAAAGGCATTAAAGATAAAAAGCAACACACATGAAAATCACTCCTAAGGCCACTGTGGACTCCACTTCTTTGGTAGGGGGTCATTAGATTACCACCAGGAAGAAGTCAAGAATGTACGGAGAGCTACACGGGTGCACAAATGATAAAGCGCATGTGGAAATGCTAACTATAGAATCTGGATGGTAGCTACATAGGGACTGACTGTGGAATTCTCTCATACATTAGCATCTATCACATGCCCAATTAAACCATTTCCAAATAAGCTCCAATAAAGAATGTTCATATGCTGACATCAAGTCTGAGAAAGTCTTTCAAAATCTGTCTTCTTACCTGATTTGCTACTACTGCATCCTGGGGGTCATCTGGTTCTGCAGCTGCCAACAGTGCTTGCAATGACAATAATACCGTGCGGAGAGTCATTGCTGCCGCCCTAAATTTCAAAATAGAGAAATATCCTGCTTAAAAGGGGTTATGAATGACATAAACAAAGTGTATGTATTCTGAATTGAAACAAGAGTTAACAACTGTGTGTATAATTGCCAATTTTTTATTCTTACAATGAGTCTATTTTTAAGACAATTGAAATCACATCCTTACCCAACCTTGCTTTTTCCCATTACTTTACCTATCCTTTAAGCTTTATGTACTTGCTGCATTGTTAATTTGTTTTCTTCTTCTTCTTCTTTTTTTTTTTTTTTTTTTTGATTTTCGAGACAGGGTTTCTCCATAGCTTTTTGGTTCCTGTCCTGGAACTAGCTCTTCTAGACCAGGCTGACCTCGATTTGTTTTCTTCTTAAGCAAATATTTTAGATTTTATATGTATGAGTATTTTTTCTTCATGTATGCATATGCACCTAAACGCGTGGTGTCCAGGAAGGTCAGAAGAGGGCTCTGGATCCCCTAGACCTGGAGTTACAGATGATCCTGAGCTGCTGTAAGGATGCTGGGAACCAAGGCTAAGTCCTCTGCAAGAACATGTGCTCTTAACCACTAAGCAACCTCTCCAGTCCCTTGCCCATAGTTCTTAATAAAGAGATAATTCAAGTTATTAATACTAATACAACCTATGGGATTTTCTGAAGGAATTCTGCTTTTAATTATAAGAATATTTATGTATGTGCACATAAATGCAGGTGCCTATAGAAACCAGAAGCGGCTGATTCCCTACAGCTGGAGCTACATACAGTTCTCTGTCATCCAACATGGGGACAGGGAATTCAACTTGGGTCCTTTTAACCACTGACCCTCTCTGCTGACATCTAAGATCCTGCTAAATAAACTGCCTTTTAGAAGTTCTGCAATCAGTTCATAATATTCCAAACTGGGACAAACAATATTATCACGTGGAGCTGGAGACGAATCATAGTTACGTAAGTGTACTACTTTTGCAGAAGACCTGAGTTTAGGTCCATGTAACCATGCTGGACAGCTCACAATTGCCTGTAACTCCAGGAGATTTAATGCTTTCTGTCCTCTGTAGGGACTCATATACAGTATATATACCAATACAGATACATAATTAAAAATAAAAATAAGCAGTGCTTAAATAATGCTTTTAAATATACTTACAACACCTTGTCTTTATGAAGCAATTGTTTAAAATGAGCTTTATTAATACTGAAATGTTAAAGAATATAAAATCTACAACACAATGTACTGAAGAATCATCAACAGTACAGTTTTCTGAGGCCCTGGAGAGTCTTGTTAAGGCAAGACACTCTACCATTGAGCTACAACCCAGTCCCGCCCGCCCCTAGCCACAAATGATCATTCTACATCAGCCTTTTCTAATTGAGTTTGTAATTCCTAAAACAAACAAAAACCCCAGTTCCCAGTCTCATCTACAGAGCAAGTTCCAGGACAGCCAGGGCTACACAGTGAGACTATGTCTCCAAACAAAACAAACCAAAGCAGCGACTATTTGCACTGTCCGTGGAAAATACAAGGTGATCCTAAATGTTCAGGCTACAAGGTAATTTATTAGAAACAGCATGTGTGAGATCAGTCAGTGTCATTAAATGTCCTTCTCCCCCGATCAGCAGCATCAGCAGGACAAGGGCACCTGTTTTTGGGACAGAGTCTAGCTACAGGAAGACTTACTGGTTCCTCCTGACTCATCCTCCCAAGTGCTAGGACTTTAGGACTGTATATCTCATGCTCAGCTAAATTCTCACGGCACACCTGCTCAATTAAAGCTGGGGTGGTTTGAACAGATTGTCTAATTAAAATGACAAAAAGTAGTCATTTAAAGGAGGAAGGGAAAGTAATTAGAATAAAAATATTTTTAAAGATTGATTTGATTGATTGATTTATTATGTATGCCGTGTTCTGTCTGCATGTATCCCTGCAGGCCAGAAGAAGGCACCTTATCTCACTATGATGGATGGTGGTGAGCCACCATGTGGTTGCTGGGAAATGAACTTAGGACCTCCGGAAGACCAGTCACTGCTCTCAACCACTGAGCCAACTTTCCAGCCCTACAATGAAAATTTCTAATCAATTTATATCTCTAAGGGAAGCTAGAGCAATTAGGAACACCTGGGATGATGCTTAAAAGTAGCATCTTTTGCTACTGCAAAGCACTGGCACCTGGTAGACTCAGAAGACTAAGACTTCAAGGGAATCCTCAACTACATAAAGAGTTCTGGGCTACACTGAGACAGAGCGGAGTAAATAAAACAATAATAGGCTGACATGCTGAATTAGCATTTAAATACAGTAGTTCTTTTCAAAGCTTTTAAAGCACAGGTTGGCAGTGGAAACCTTCACTCTCAAGAGTACTGTAGGCAGAGATAGGCAAGAGTTCAAAGCCAGCCTGGTCTACAGTTTCAGAACAACCTCAGCTACATACACAGTATTTTAAAACAAAACAAATACTTTTCAAATAGCTATATAGCTTTATATCCTAGCCGACAAAGCAAACGATGTATTTTTTTTCTAGATCTAGGTGTTTAATTTCCTAAGAACTTCAAATTAATTTTCAACCAAGACTTATTAATATATTTTAAGCACATACAGAGGCTGATGAGATGGCTGAGTAGATAAAAAAAACTTGTGACACCAGCCTGAAGGCCCCAGTTCATCCCCAGAACTCAGGTTCGAAGTGAACAGAATCCATACTGATGTCTTATGATCTTCACACAAGCACTACAGACACACCAGACACACGTACAGTAAGTTCTTAAATAAAAGAGCAAACAGACATAACCAAATTTAGCTCTTAAATACTCATACTTGTCTTTCCATTACACAAAAAGATGAAAACTCATTCCTTAGAAGAGTATATCACTCTAATTTTTGTGAATTTCAGGGGCTGGAGAGATGGTTCAGTAATTAAGGATCCCTGTTGCTCTTTAGAAGACAAGATACAGTTCCAAGACCCCATAACAGCTTCCATCTGTCTATAACTACAGAAATAGAGGTTTCAACACTCTTATGACCTCCACAGGCTCAGACATGCACGTATACATACATGCAACCAAAAGACCAATCATAATTTTTAAAAAAAATAGTTTAATTAAAAAAAAATCTTTCCAAGGTTATGTTTTGTCTCTTCTGTCCTTTGTCTGTCTATCCTCCCATCCTTCTTTTTCTTTTTAATGTGCAGTGGAGCTTTGTCTGCATGAAGTGTCAGGTACACTGGACCTGAAGCTGTAGACAGCTGTGGGAGCTGCCATGTGGATGCTGGGAATTGATCCCAAGTCTCTGGAAGAGCAGCCACCTCGTCAGCCTCTCTAAGGTTATTTTAAAAAGGCACAGCACATTTAAAAATAGCCTAGATTTATCAGCAAAAGAATGACTTTTACTAGCAAAACACACACACACACACACAAAAAACACAAGCTGGCGACCAAATGTTCTAAGGGACTTTGTTTTCAGTCAGGCACTCTCTAACATGGAGATCACGGAGCTTATGCCTAGGTCCACCAAGAACTTTCTTACAGCCTTCCTTTTTGCTCAACATTGTGGAGAAAGCATCTCACTTGGTGTCCTGAGAAGGCCTG